TGACTTATGGTTGTAAGATTATTAATAGAATATATATTTCATAGTTTAAGTAGAGTATTCATGTGGCATATTGTATCTTCATCAGAAACTGTAGAACAGAATAAAATTATATATGTATATTTAAAATCTTTAGTAGTAGTCTCAAATATGGTCCCTTTGCTTTTCCATATGACTTTTTTTCATATGCCCCGAAGCATCAGGGTTTTTTTCCCCTCAGATTTTTTAAAATTTGAATTAGAAACAAGATTGTTTTACATGTCAATCCCAGTTCCCTTCTCCCTCCCCTCCTCCCCTACCACCCCCCCAACCAAAACCCTACCTATCACATGTCCTTTCTGCTCCTCCTGGATGGTGAGGCCTTTCATAGGGTGTCACCAGAGTCTATCATATCCTTAGGGATAGGGCCTAGGCCCACCCCCGTGTGTCTTGGCTCAGGGAGTATCCCACTATGTGGAATGGGCTCCCAAAGTCCACACCTTCACTAGTACTGAACTACTACAGCAGGTCCCGTAGATTTCTGAGGTTTCCTCACTGACATCCATGTTCCTGGGGTCTGGTGTAGTCCTATGCTGGTATCCCAGCTATCAGTCTGGGGAGCAAGAGTTCAGGTCAGCTGTTTCTGTGGGTTTCACCAGCCTGCTCTTCACTCATCCTTCTCTGAATCTGGATTCCAGTTCAGTTCAGTGATTAGTTGTGGGTGTCTGCTTCTACTTCTACTTTTGAGGGCTATGGGGTAGCATATAGCATCAGGTTTTTAACAAGGAAAAAGTACAAAGCAGTTAGGTATTGTCTTTGTTTCTGATTCTAAAACAAAGCATATATTTACACACACACACACACACACACACACACACACACACACACACACACACACACACACACACACAACATTTGTGTTTTGAAATTCTCTTCAGATGCCTCAACAGAAATTTGAGCTCTTAGGTCATATTTTCATTTTACTAAAATCATTTGAATAGTTTATTTCATCATTTAAGATAATAGATTTGATAAATTTATTAGTTTTAGAAACAACTGCTTTTTAATTTGAGATTAGTTCATGTGAAATTATTCTATGACTTGTATTTTTTCCATTACAGACTTTGGTGATAGAATTTTACTTAAAATACAGTCTATGCTTTATTTCACAATTACATGTGAAGTGAGTGCCTAAGTAGATACTACTCTACCTTTCTCATCTAAAGCCTGATGATTCAGTGACTGTAGAAACATATGACAAGACAAAGGCACAGTATTTGAATTCACCACTTATATTTATGTTAAAATTATATTCTCTATAGTTTTAAGATCATAGGAGCATGATATATGAACTGCAGTGAATAGATATTCATAAATTGCCAAAAATCTTAAGTCATATTCAAGAAATATGGCCTACCTAAATACATGTTTGCTATTTTAAATCTCAATGATTCATATATAGAAACATGTTTTGTGTTATACATTGTAATTTAAAATATTTTTATGTAATTTTGATCCTGTGATATAGCTATCTTGAGTATTGTTTTCATGAAAGCATTTTTAGTGACTACATAATAGGTCACTAAGGGAACCTAGTGGGTAGGTGGCTAAAACATTTTATTTTGCCATTGTGCTTAACACTCATTAAATGTCAGAGGTACTTTTTGACTGAAATAGTTTCCTTTATATTTTTGCAGTGGATGATGTGGGAGAGAAGTTAGAGCATATGGGGAACACACCATTAAAAATCGGTAGTGATGGCTCACAAGAAGATGTTAAAGAAGATGGATTTGGTTCAGAAGTGATAAAAGTGTATATCTTTAAAGCAGAGGCTGAAGATGATGTTGAAATAGGTACAAAGCTATTTTAATTCCACAATATAAGAGACTTTAGAATTCTTACCTTTCATGGAGATGATTCTAAAATTCTCAAAAGACAAAAATGTTCATAGGCTTCTTAGTGTATTTCTAGAACTGTGTATGGATATTTATATGGAAATTGGGATGACAACTTTCTTAGATTCTTTCTGATATGTACCTATTATGGCAGAAAACTTTAAAATAAATAAAAATAATTGGGACTAGAAGAAGGATTATGGTGAGTGTTTAAGAGTCAGGTATTTTGGAAATTTAGAATTACTTGTAGCATTTAACTGAGAAATCTTCAGTGGCTTGTATGATCTCCTTCTGCCTTGCTTCCTATGATGACCATAATGATCGTTACTACCTAATAGGATTTTTATGAGAAAAGGGGTAGATATATATAGAATTTTTATAGTGCTTAGCATATACGTGTGACACAAATGTTAACACCTGAAATGAAGGATAAAAGTTTGTTTTTTTTTTGAGGGGGGGGCGGTTCAAGACAGGGTTTCTCTGTGTAGCTTTGGAGCCTATCCTGGTACTCTCTCTGGAGACAAGGCTGGCCTCGAACTCACAGAGATCCGCCTGCCTCTGCCTCCTGAGTACTGGGATTAAAGGCGTGCGCCACCAACACCAGGCATGAGGGATGAAAGTTTAAGATAAAATTTACATAAATATTTTAACATCCTTTGAAGTTTGTTTGAATTTTTATATACTCTCTATATCCTCATTAATTCAGGGATTTATTCCATGATATATTTCTAGTTTACATGTGTTTTAATTTTTAAGGTGGGACAGAAATTGTCACAGAGAGTGAATATACCAGTGGGCATCCTGTAGCTGGAGTGCTTGACCAGAGCCGGATGCAGCGAGAGAAAATGGTTTACATGGCAGTTAAAGATTCTTCCCAAGAAGAGGATGATATCAGTAAGATAAAAGGCGCTGCAGTGACTTATAAGAAGCAATGATATAACGTTAAATGCAATTGATAACAGTGATAGATGTACTGAATAAGAACAAAGTTTAAAAAAATAAGCCATTTCTTGCAAATATTTAAAAGAAAGGGCCGTTTTAGACATTCTGCACCAGTGTATTATTTAGATAAGGATACATAATTTTACTTTTCAAATCATATGTTACAATGAGATGAAGAGTTTATTAACTTTTATATAATGAAATTCACAAATATATAGAAATTGAATCCTATATTATACATTATATCTATATAATTGCACCTGCTTAATTGGGGCTGGAGAGGTGGCTGAGTAATTAAAGTGCTTGCTGGTCTTGCAAAGGACCCAGGTTCAGTTTCAGTTCCTATGTCTCGCAGAATATGACTACAGGTGTAACTCCAGTTCCAGGGGAGCCAACACCCTCTTCTGGTTTACATGTAGTGCAATAAGC